TTTCTAGGTTATTAGAGTTTGGTTTAAATGGAAAAGCATGAATCTTTTCTTTCCTCTTTACTCAAGGGCTGGCTCTAGAGGGGAGATACTAGGTGAAGTGGAAGGACTGAACACAGGGTGAATTGGGAGGGCTATGGATTTCACCCTTTAAAACTTGTGTCCTTGGAGGAGTAAAATGGCATGGAGTCATCCTCAGCCACCCAGTCACCCTTCCCCTTTGCTGGTGTCTCTTCACCAAACAGAAACTTTTTACAGTGAAGGGCTTGAATACTTGATACTATAAAGATCTTTTTTGTTTTGGAGAAGGGCCAGGTGCAGCAACTCAAGACTGTAATCTCAGTGCTTTGGGAGGCCAAAGCAGGGGGATCACTTGAGCCCAGGAGTTCAAGACCAGCCTGGCAATATGGCAAGAACTCTGTCTCTACAAAAAAATAGCTGGGTGTTGTGGTGTGTGACTGGGGTCCCAGCTACTCAGAAAGCCAAGGTGACAGGATGGCTTGAGCCCAAAAGATCGAGGCTGAGAACTAGGATTGTACCATTGCCCTCCAGCCTGGGCAACAGAGCAAGACCCCATCTCTCTCTCTTTAAAAAAAAGGATGGTGCTGAAGTTGAGTTCCCAGTGGTTTGAAGAATTTGTTCTGATGGCTTTGGTAACTGGTTTTTGTAGATATCAACTATCTACCTAAATAACAGATCATGAAATGAGGGGGTCGAAATTGGGACAGGAGCTATTTTCACGAGTTACCACAATCCTATCATAAGAGAATAACTGCTATAGATACACACACCACAATGCTGAAGTCCAACTGTTCACAACTTTGACTGCCAAGGTGTTTTCCGTGGAAATTCTCCTTTGGCTTAGCACAGGCCTAGATTTCTGGATGCCATGCATGACACACTTTTTGCAAGAGGCATTTGCAGTAGAGGCATATTTAATACACGCTAATATCTGCTGTTCTGTCTAAGTCACTTTAACTGAACTTTCATATTTTATATTTATGTCCCGAGGCAATTTAATCAGGAAAGTTGCAATGTGATGTGCAAAAATGATAAATAAATAAATGATATCGAATTTCTAAAAGAGGGCTGCAGCAATGGAGAATGATGGTAAAAGTCCGTCTTCACATCACCCTTATGAAATCCCTGCAATTCTGCAATTCTTCTGTATGTCCCTGAGTGAGGCCGTCTCTTGGTAAGGCACTATTAAAGAAATCATACATATCCCCTCACACACACAGAATAAAATGAACAAAATATTAAGAACTGTATCGCTTCCTCCTACAGGGATCCCTGTTTATAAGACCATCATACATTTCCTTTGTCCATATCCAGGTCCCCATGTGAAATCCTAACTCTTTGGAGCCCCATCTATTCAGACCCAGCCCTTCCTGGGGCCACAGAGGGAAGCACGTGACAGTGGCCATTCCCTCACCTGCACCACCTGTCCTCAGACACACACATTGCACTGGGTCCTTCTTAGTAATGGTCTCTGGGACTGTGGCAACCCCCAGATTCAGAAATGCTCAGAAGCATAGTTCAGGCCCTGGCCCTTTCCGAGCACAAAGTTCCCACCTCTTTTCAAGAAGGCAAAGTCAAGGTAGGGAAACCCAGGGAATCTGAAAACCTTCAACTTGCCTCCAGCAGCCAGGGGGTAAACTCAGGAAGCAGGGAAGGGAGGTGTGATGACATATGGTCCCAGGCATTGCCAAGGTAACCAGAGAAGACTGTCAAGCAAGCCAGGGTCAGAAAGGGAATGCTGTGCCCTTTTAGCACAGAAAAAGGCAAAGTCCCATTAACTTGAAACGAATGTCAGTGTCTCAGGTAGACAAAATAAGGGTTGTCAGCCAAAACTGATCCCAGTCATGTGAAGTGAGTCTGAATTTGTAGGTGAGGTTTTTTGTTTGTTTGTCTGTTTGTTTTTGAGATAGTCTCTCACTCTGTCACCCAGGCTGGAGTGCAGTAATGTGATCTCCACTTACTGCAACCTCTGCCTTCCAGCTTCAAGTGGTTCTCGTGCCTCAGCCTCCTGAGTAGCTGGGACTACAGGTGCCTACCACCATGCCTGGCTAATTTAAAAAATATTTTCAGTAGAGATGGGGTTTTGCTATGTTGGCCAGGCTGGTCTTGAACTCCTGGCCTCAAGTGATCCGTCTGCCTCAGCCTCCCAAAGTGCTGAGATTATAGGCATAAGCTACTGTGCCTGGTCTCTGGCTGGGGTTTTTAAAAGACAAAACTAAACTGACTGCACCCCGGCATGAGAACCTTCTGCCACCCTCCTCTGTGGCATCATGGCCTCCACCATGGCACTGGGTGTCCTGTCTCTCACCCACAGTAGTGAAACCAGGCCTGGGGAGATGACCTAGAGGCACAGCCTCACTGGAAGCAGTGCCATCCACATGACAAGAGTGGGGCTTGGGGACTGATAACATTGCTGCACAAAGTGCAGGGGCCATGGGAGTGGCATGGGGATGAAAGGAGAGAGAGAGAATATAGAAAGGGGATGCGATGGAGAAAGCTGGGAGGAGGTGGCCTTAGGGAAGAAGGAAACATATACATAGAGCACCTCCTCAAACTCCAGGAAATGAGACTTCACATGCAAATATTTTCACCCTGAATTTCTCTTCCTTCCCTCAGAGATGGTCCCCTCACCTCCCCCAACTCTCTCTGGGTAAATACTGCTGTCACCTGCTGTTTGTGTAGACATGTTCATTTGGGGGAACCTTTGTCCAGGCAGTGTCTGGAACATGTGAAAGAGTTGCTCCTCCTTCTCCACAATAAGGCAGGAAACTCACCTTTTAGATGGGTACAGAAACAGGTAAGTGTTTCGCAGGAAGCCAGAGCCAGCCAATGCCAGGGGAGGAGGGATTCAGACAGGGGTTTGATCATACTAAGAAGGACCATGGAGAAAGTGAAAGACCCCATGATTTAGAATGTAAAAACATGAAAGCCCCTGTGCAAAAGGCTTTACCTGTCTTAGGGATGTGGATAGGGAGAGAATGAAGAGCAAGTGCTCAGAGGTTCCAACGACTGTGCAAAAAGGAAGCTACGGAACTTGATGCAGAGAAGCAGCCCCCACCCACCCACCGCCCCGCAACCATAGGAGGGCTTCATGTAGCCTTGGCTTCCTGAACATTCTCGAAGACTTCTGAAATGTTCGGAAAACAACCAATTTAGTCAAAGGTTAAATTGAAGCCCACAGATTTATATAAAGCTTGACCACACAGCAGAACATCAAGTCTTAGGCCCAACACAGAAGGACAGGGTGTCATTTGACAGCAGTCCCCAGATTTAGAAACCACCCAAACCTTTCCTTCCAGGTCAGGGAGCTCCTGAGGCTAGTCTTTTTTCTGCTACTACTCTGGCTAAGAGAGGCTTGTAAGGGCTAGATGTAAACCCCCAGAGGGTACCTCCTAGACTAGAGAAGATGCAGCACGAGCTCAGGTAGGAAGCAAGGTTTGTATTGAGACACTGAATATAGGACCAGGTATACAGAATTATAGGACCATGGGTGAAGGAGGTGCAAGCCAGGCTGTGTTATGGAAGTGGTTTCCAGCTGTCTCTCCATCCATGTGAACATGCCTGCTTTTTAGCTGCAGGAGCTGATGAGCCCAGGTTTATGGCAACCTGCAGAGGCCCAGCCTGTCTGGAATGTTTAAATTTCTGAATTAAGCAAAGTGGGCACCCATACAATGTGTCCAAACCTACATCCAGCTTTCTCACTCCCTTGCATGACCTGTACACATCTAACACCCCAAGGGCAATTCTTTGTGATTTTTCTACCATACTTGGACATTCCTGCCCTCAAGCTCCTACAGAGTCCCACCTCTCCTCTGCCGGCTAGCTCCAATACTCTCTTCATGAAGACTTTCTTATGGCCCCAAACTGGAGGCATTTTCTCTCTTCTCAAATGACATCTTCTTTCATGGTGAAGATTTGTGTTTTTGTCTTCTTATGCTACTCATGACCTTGAAAGCAGAAAGTTATAGGTATTCATGTGTTTAGCAGGGATTGTACAGTAGGTGAGCACTTCCTCATACATTTCTGTACTCTATAAACTTGAAAGCCAGGTGTTGTACTAGGCACTGAGGACACAGAGGTACTAGGACACCGCTTCCCTCTCTTGTACACTTGTTAGGGATTCAACACAACATGAGATAATTGACAAATTCAGGGAATGGTAATCTGACCATCCCCAGTTACAAATGATGTTTCATGCTACCTTCTATTCCTGCCCTCCTAAATCAAGGTAATTACTTGGCAATCTGGCTACGCCTTGTAAGGCAAAAGAGCTGTTCATGTCTTGTGTCAAATGTTGAACAGGGAGGGGGAGGAAAATGGTAAATAATCCTGCCTCCCATCTGTGCCCAATCAGCTCTAAATCTCCAGGAAAAAATGCGCTCAGGATCACCAGAGAAAAATCCTTCCAACTGTATCGAAAGGTGGGATTCTGTGCAGCAGATAAGGGACTTACACACAGCAAGGACAGCAAAACCTTCCAGGCCTGCCTGTGACATACGCTGCACATTCTAAAGATGCCCTGTGCCATGGAAAACACCCCTGTCTGCTCCAGCACAACTGCTATTCTTCCATCTCACCGACCTTAATGCAACAACTCCTTAAAGGCAGAGATTTTGAAATGTGTTCTTTCCAGAAGAGAGACTCAAAGATGGGACAAATGGGTAATTTAAATGCCTGTTAAAATGGAAATGGACATAATATAGTCAGAGGATTGTGGCAGCCAAGAGCATAGTCTCTGGAGCAAATCTGTATGGGTTGCGATCCCAGGCACACAAGGTCCCAGTGGTATGAGCTTAGGCAAGTAGAGAGGTTTCGTACTTCTCTATACCTCACCTCTAAATGGAGTCAATAAAAGAACTTACCCTAGAAGTATTATTTTATTAAATGAATTATCATTTGTAAGGGGCTTAGAATCGTGTGTGGTGGTCATTAGTACCATGTGAGTGTTTACTAAATTAAAAAAAATTAAAACTTTATCTCTTTGGGAAAAGAAAAAAATGACATATATCCCCCGACCTTTTGATTTCCAACAGTCTACCGAGAAGCCAAGATTATTTGCAGGGAAAGGAAAGGAGTACATTTTATCATATATACGTTTTATCACATTTTTATGCTTACTACTCACTTAAACTGAAGGAAAACATCCAAAGATGAAAAAAGGAGTCCTCCCCAAAGCCTACTTAAGTAAAACCTGAATAAATGAAAGCTCTGTAAGTAATTCAACCCTCTGGATAGAGTGACACAATTTCTACACCCTTAATGAGTATCACGTGCATTCCTGTGGGGAGAGAAATTCCCCAAATTGGTCCTCTTTATGCCTTGTTTCCTTCTTTATGTGCAATTTCATCTTTCTGGGGCCCATATAAATTTCTCCCAGCCGATATTATCTTCCCATGATAAGCCCGAGGCCATAATGACAGCCACCTGTTTTAATGATAGAGCCAGGATGGCAGCGTTTTCAGCAGAGTGCTGTTAATCTGGATAACCTTTCCCTTCAGGAATGCCATCCCCACCCCCTTGCAGCTACATGCCAGCTCCAGAGCACCTGTTTCCCCTACTTTGAAAAGGTAAATTCCTCCCCAAGGGGGCTCCCCTGCCTACATCCCAATCCCCTGCTATACAATTTGTATAAATCTTGTACTTTTGGTCGCTATGGTTTTCTCAATCAAACCAGCAGGGAGAAAACATGGAGGATGGAAACATTGTCTGAGGGTCCACATTAATATCCTGTAATAGCCCAGCCAGAAATTCGTCAACATCATTAACAGCCCCTTTCCCTTGGCTTCTAACCTGGAAAGGCTGCAGAGGGCTCTTACTGTCCAGTTTCCCAGGACATGAGGTGTGTGGGATCAACAGCACTGCAGGGTCCAATGCCAGTGACTGCCAGTGACACCCTTCACTACTCAGATATACCCAGGGAGGAGCTTCCGGACTTCTGGCTGCCTCCAATGAGCCTCAGTCACATTCCCAGGCTCCCTGATACTGCCTAGATGGCTAAACGTGGATTTTATCATCAAAGCAGTGCTGGCAAGCCCACCTAAGTCAGGCTCAGGTGGTTCTCGGCTTGTCGCTGGCCCTGGACACACAGCATGGTGTAAACTGGAAATCAGATGGGCCTCAGTGCAGAGTTGCCTTTTCCTCTTATGAACTGGACGACCATAGGTGGGGCTTGTCACTTCCCTAACAAAAGGCTGTGGTGCCAACAGGTGACATATGACGTCGTCTGGCTCAGAGCAGGTAGTCAGGGCAAGTTACCTGCTTTCCTCCCTCCCATGATACCTAACAGCTGCTCATCCTCCGACGCCCAAGGCTTCTGCATGAAGTGGGAGGAGGGGAATGCCATCAGCTGCCCCCTCCACCAAACAAGCTTGTTTTCCTGCCTCCATGCTGAGTTCCCTAGCAGCAATTCCTGCTCCTGGGCTAGCACCTACTGCTCCCATCCATGCTTAGGCTGAATGTTTAAGATTCCCTGATGTTCTCAGTCCCACACACTGCTGTGAATCCACACACACCTTTCCTGCTTCCATTCTTGTTCAGATGGAAGCCTGGGCTCTCCTCTCAGGCTGATCCCGTCTATGCCCTGGATCCCATGCCTTCTTGCCTTCTCAGGGACTCTGCCTCCTTCCCCCTTATCCTGATGCCTTCTGTGCATTTAGATGAGTAAGTTTCTCCTCTCTTTAAGAAACATCTGGCTGGGTGCAGTGATTCATGCCTATAATTCCAGCACTTTGGGACACCGAGGCAGTTGGATCGCCTGAGGTCCGGAGTTAGAGACCAGCCTGGCCAACATGGTGAAAACCCATGTCTACTAAAAATAGAAAAAATACAGCTAGGCATGGAGTGCATGCCCATAATCCCAGCTACTCAGGAGGCTGAGGCATGAGAACTGCTTGAACCCAGGAGGAGGAGGTTGCAGTGAGCTGAGATCACGCCACTGCGCTCCAACCTGGGCCACAGAGGGAGACTCTGGAATCAAGGAAAAAAAAATCCTCCCCCCAAGTTTATTCTGTCCCATTCACTGCCACCACCTCTCTTCTCCCCTCTCAAACCGAGCTTCTTAAATGAAATTCCTACAGCTGCTCAGTTCCAACTCCCATGTAAATCCACTGCACCCTGGCTTCCTTCCTCCCTTATCCGATTTCGCCTGATCCTTAGTGTCTGCAATGACTGTGGGCTAGTTCAGATTCTCTGTTCTTCTCATGAAAAATACTTCCCCAGGTCAAATGATTTTGCCAGTAACCCCCAAAACATATCTACAGCCAAGGGGAGAAGTGTTTCAAGACAGAGGTGCTCAATGGTATCAAATGCTGCCAAGAGACCAAGTAATATACGCACTGAAGTGTCTACTAGATTTAGCTATATGTAAGTCACTGACAACTTCTGTAAAGTTTTTTTGTGGTGGGGTAGGGACACTGCAGATCAGTTACCTAAACTCAGTGAGTTAAAGTGACTTACAAGGCTCAATGTCACACACCTAGATAGATCCAATCCAAGAACATAGACTCTTGACTTCTACTGTGTTATTTCATATTAAGTATGGACTAAGTTTGCCTTCCCTTGTGAGAGTAGAGAAATGCGCTTCAAGGCATGGCTGGTCTACTTCACATGGGCAAGTTTCAGAGTCATATTAAAGAGCAATCTTGGGGCCAGGTGCAGTGGCTCATGCCTGTAATCCCAGCACTTTGGGAGGCGGAGGTGAGCAGGTCACCTGAGGTCAGGAGTTTGAGACCAGCCTGGTCAACATGGCAAAACCCCATCTCTACTTAAAAAATACAAAAATAATCATCTGGGCTTGGTGGCTTGTGCCTGTAATCCCAGCTACTCAGGAGGCTGAGGTGGGAGAATTGCTTGAACCCAGGAAGCGGAGGTTTCAGGGAGCTGAGATTGTGCCACTGAACTTCAGCCCAGGTGACAGAGCAAGACTCTGCCTTTAAAAAAAAAAAAAGAGCAATCTTGGGTAGGTAATATAGCTAGTTCTTCCAGAACAGTGTTGTGCCTCGAGCTCCAGAGTTCTTCTCGAGCGTCTCAACCTTTCCTAGCACATGTCTAGCCCCTAAGACTTTGATTCCCTGTCCTGATCTGCTTGCCTTTATAACAAGTGTGCACTGAAGCTTCTGCTCCTCTCATTGAATGTAGCTCTCAGGACCACATGGCTTTTTCCTTCCAGAGCTCAACTAACTCACTTTTCCTTCAGCTCCATGTGGAGTTCTGCCCCTCACAGGTAGCAGCTTGATAGAAATACTCTTACCAAGTGCTCGGCGTTCAGCCTAGGTTTCATCATTGGCTGCATAGAAAGCCAATCACTGAGATGAGTATTGCCAGGAAGACCTTATTCAGGTAACATCAGTCGGAGAGATGGCGGACAAACCTGGAATCTGTCCCCTCTCCAACAATAAAGTTAATAGTTTATATCGCCAGGAAGGACAACAGGAGGGGTAAGGAAGAGGAGTTGGTTAACAGGCAGCAGATGCATCTTACTGTCAAATATGTTTCTCAAGCGTCAGTTCTATGAGCATTCTGACTTGTTGGAAAATTGTTCAAAACTTGTGGGTCCTGCCCTGAGCTTCCACTTGGCTTGAAGTCTGGTTCCTTTTTGGCCATAATGGGACAGTTTCCAATTATCCAAGAAATAGTGATCTAATCATCACATTTTCTTGGCCCTATGATTTAGTCTTCACTCTCAAGGTATTGCTCCACCTCGCCACAAATAATTGAGAATTTGTCCTAGAACATAGCATTTATTGCGTCAAAAATAACTCTCCGTCATACTGCAATTTTAGAATCAAATCTATGTATGAAGCATCTAAAATGGGCCCCAGTGATCCCTACCTCTTGGTATTTATGTCCTTGTATAATTCCTCCTTTGAGTATGGGCTGAACCTCATGACTCACTTATAATGAAGACAGTGCAGTCACAGTGATGGAATGTCATTAGATTAGGTTGTGAAAAGACTGTGACTTCCCTCTCGCTGGCTGACCTTATTCTCTCTCTTGTTTGCTACAATGGAAGCCAGCTTCCCTATGGAAAGACCCACGTAGCAAGGAAGTGAGGGCAGTCCCAGGTAATAGAAAGCCAGGGACTAAGACACACAGTCCAACAGCCCAGAAGAAACAGAATTCTCCAGCAACCACACAAGTGAGCTTCAAAGCAGATCCAGCCACAGTTAAGTTTTCACATGAGATTGCAGCCCCCTTGACTGCAATTTTGTGAGAGCCGGTGAGGCATGAGTGCCCCAAAGCTGTGCCCAATTACCTGACCCCAACATACTGAGATAACAAATGATTTTTTTTAAGCAGCTAACTTTTGGAATCATTTTTATACATAAACAGACAACCAATATTGCATCTAAGCTAACCCTTCTGCATGATCCAAGAGTAGAAAAGATTCCTATCCAAGAAAATTTGTTTTATCCTGACGCTGAAATAAAAATGAAGACAGAAAACTACATTGTCAAAATTCAAGCATGATAAAGAACATGATGTTAGGAAGACTATTAAATTTTCATTTCTTCCTTTTTTTTTTTTGAGATGGAGTCTTACTCTCTCACCCAGGCTGGAGTGCAATGGCCCGATCTCAGCTCACTGCAACTTCCACCTCCTGGGTTCAATCGATCCTTCTGCCCCACCCTCCCTAGTAGGCACCTTGCACCACACCTGGCTAATTTGTGTGTGTGTGTGTGTGTGTGTGTGTGTGTGTGTGTGTGTGTTTGTTTTTGTTTTTTTGAGACAGAGTTTCACTTTTGTTACCCAGGCTGGAGTGCAATGGCGTGATCTCAGCTCACCGCAACCTCCGTCTCCTGGGTTCAGGCAATTCTTCTGCCTCAGCCTCCCGAGTAGCTGGGATTACAGGCACGCACCACCATGCCCAGCTAATTTTTTTTTGTATTTTTAGTAGAGACGGGGTTTTACCATGTTGACCAGGATGGTCTCGATCTCTTGACCTCGTGATCCACCTGCCTCGGCCTCCCAAACTGCTGGGATTACGGGCTTGAGCCACTGCGCCCGGCCTAATTTTTGTGTTTTTAGTAGAGATGGGGTTTCACCATGTTGGCCAGGTTGGTCTCAAACTCCTGACCTTGGGTGATTCAGCCACCTTGGCCACCCAAAGTGCTGGGATTACAGGTATGAGCCACTGCACCTCGTAGACTTTTGATTTCTAAGGTTAACTATTAAGAGGAGAGTAACATGCCTATCCTTCTATTCCTACCATCCCTAATGAGTAAATGGAAGAGGCAAGTCATTGTTGCTTGTCGGGTGTCACTTGGCTGTTGTTTCCTCTAGCTGATTTGGGCAGATGCAAAGTGGCTGCAGGATCCAAGTGCAGTGTTAGCATTAATGAATTCCCAAAATATCTTGTTTTCCTGGGGTAAATTTACTTTATAACTACCACCATTGCCAACCAGAAATTAAATCAATAAATCAGTATGAGGAAATTGTCAAGAGGAGCCGGGAGTCCTGCTAGAAGAAACCAAGTGTTTACGGACTGAATTCCCACACCCCTCTGTAGCTGGCCTGTCACCCAGTTCCAAGGTCATGGGAGGCATGGAGAGGGGGATGGCATCAGGCCACTGGGGGCCGGAAAACAGTGCAGTAATCTGGGTCCAAGTTGGCTATGGTGTCTCTGTAGCACATTTCCCCACTCCTCCAGGAGAAAAAGAGAAAGGAATCATTGCCAAGCCCTTCTGCTCTTCTTTCTTGCAGGGAATATGTATTTCTAACTTTTTAACCCTTTGCAGATACTTTCTATTTCTGCATGCTCAGTACTGCTTTTCTGTAAGCCCCCTTTCCTCTGGTGTTGTTTCTCTAGAAGAACATCACTCAGGACCTAGTGACGAAGACAAAAGATCACCCTTACTGTAAGTTATGACTTTAACACGGGTGGCGTACTTAAAGAGAGATGTTTGGTAGAAAAATGGCCTTTTGAGGTTTTACATTAACACTACAGGGTAAGTCACTGAACCATGTAGAAATCGTGATTGCTTCAAAAGTTGCAGATGATCAAAACCAGCAAATAAGCCAAAAATATACATATTTTGGGAAGGAACAGCTCTCTGCAACACTTCTTCTCCCTGTCCTTCATACACTACACATACAAACACATTCAGATTGATGCTTGTCCAGACAGACATACTGTCAGGTTACAACTACTATCTACATAACAAGAACTACAAGAATAATAAATGAAAGCAATTCCATGCTATTCCTGTATGTTTCTGTTTAGTGCCATGCGTTTAAAATATCCATATGAGTTACTGAATTTTGTACACTTCATTCAAGTATGTTAGCAGAATATAAACAAAGCCATTTGTGTGACATGGAACCTCTTGAAACCTGTACATGTCCAAGTGACTAAAGCAATTTTTTTTTGTTTTTGTCTGGATGCTGGACATTGTCCTTACCTCAAACCTGGACTCCTCAGTCCATACTACTCCTTTACCTGCATGACAAAGGAGCAAGTTAGCTGCCTTTGTGGGACTTAGCATGGATTATCTATGGTTCTTCCATGATTCATTGAGAACGGTGAACTGCCCAGAACACTGGGAACTGAAATATCTTGAACAATTAAAGATAAGTGTACCGTTAATCTTGTAAAAAAATAATAAAACAGGTATAACTATTGATATCAAAAGTGTAATTCCCCCAAGTGCCACCCTTTAGAGTTAAGGTAATTGACATATAGAGCTATGTGCTCTCTTGTGCCAACTCTCTTGTTTCTTTTCCCATCTCCGCATGCATAATAAATCTGGCAAGCATAAAATTTAGATATTAGCTTGGGGACCTAGATCAGAAGTAAAATGCTATGTTCAGAAATGATCTCTAATCGCTGATCTATGTTGCTGCCTGACATGTTGCCAGTACTGGCTTTTTTGATTCTATTTGAGTCATTCATTTTCCCCTCTCCTTCCCTTCACTGAATAAACACTTATTAAGAATTTGCGGCCGGGCGCGGTGGCTCAAGCCTGTAATCCCAGCACTTTGGGAGGCCGAGGCGGGTGGATCACGAGGTCAAGAGATCGAGACCATCCTGGTCAACATGGTGAAACCCCGTCTCTACTAAAAATACAAAAAATTAGCCGGGTATGGTGGCGCGTGCCTGTAATCCCAGCTACTCGGGAGGCTGAGGCAGGAGAATTGCCTGAACCCAGGAGGCGGAGGTTGCGGTGAGCCGAGATCGCGCCATTGCACTCCAGCCTGGGTAACAAGAGCGAAACTCCGTCTCAAAAAAAAAAAAAAAAAAAAAGAATTTGCTACTTATCAGCTGAGTATGGTGGCTCACCCCTGTAATCCCAGCACTTTGGGAGGCCAAGGTGGGCGGATCACCTGAGGTCAGGAGTTTGAGACCAGTCTGGCCAATATGGTGAAATCCCATCTCTACTAAAAATACAAACATTAACTAGGGGTAGTGGCTCATGCCTGTAGTCCCAGCTACTCGGGAGGCTGAGGCAGGAGAATTGCTTGAACCCAGGAGGCAGAAGTTCCAGTGAGCCGAGATTGCACCACTGCACTCCCACCTGGATGACAGGTGAGACTCTGTCTCAGCAAAACAAAAGAATTTGCTAATAATCAACCACTAGACCAGGTGATGGGGATCCAATAGTGGCCACACTGATAAAGTAGAGACTGTCAGGGCTTACCTGTATGACCTCAGCCTCCCCTGAGGGTCACCTGCAGATCCCTCCCCAAGAAGCCTGTGGATCTCAGCCTTTCTGACTTTCAGAGAGGGCTTTTCCTGCTGCAGGAGTGCTTGGCCTAGTCATGGAGAAAGACAGATGTACGCAAGAGCAAACGCCCCTGGGATGACTTCGACTAGGGAGAGACAGGGCAGATGGGAAAAGCCAACAGCTTCTCTGTCTTTCTCGGTGGGGCAGTTCTTCACAGGGTCCCAAGCGGCTGGAGCCCGAGTTGCCCAGGCACTAATCCACCCACACTCATGCTTTGCTGGCCTCCCCATTCCCATCTCACATCCCCCTCCCTCATGTCCTTAGACTCAAATTCTTGTCTCCGGATCTTCTTTGGGGAAATTCCGTGAACCTACACACTCATTTTGGAGACAAAGAAAAGGACCTCCAAATGGTCATACAACTCCTGTTTTCCCCCAAGTCAGTCAAATAGCAGAATGCTAAAATAATTCCAGTTGAGAATCCTCTAAACCCGAGTTGCCCGACATGTTTGCAATGGTATTTTAACATATCCCTCAGCGTCACAAAAATCCATAAAGTGTTCATTCAAATGAAATCTGAAGGACATGGAAAACCCAGGCACAGTCTGAAAGAATTATCATGCAATGCCCAAAATACAATGCTCTTGCATTTTTCATTCTTTAAATTTAAAGATAATCCTTTGGTATTTGGGTCTTTGGACTGGCTGCTCTGTTCAGCTCTTTGTTAAATCTAAGTAACATTTCCTATGCTGCAAATTAACATAATACTTTGAATCAAACCAATTCTACTTGGTAAACTTTACTTGAATGCTATTTTTCATCAACATCACATGCCCATTAGAAAATAAAGAACAGCTGGCTTTTCACTAAAGTGATTAGTTTTCTATTATTGGATTGTGAATATTCAGTATTACCTATCTCCCCTCTATCTCTCTTGAGTCATCCCAAATTAGATTTCTATATCTAAGACACCTCAGTTTATTTTAGTGCCGGAGACAGACAGAATGTGAATAGAATTGAAAGTAGAGAATTAATATTGGTTCTGTAATACTTTTCAGTTCATATGGAGTAAATAAAACAAAGATAATTGTAACACCTGTGCAGTCAATAAATGTCAGTTTCCAGGAATCAACTTCAAAACTATGACTAATTCATAGTCCCTCTTTCTCTCCCTCCATGTATATATATACATTCACACACTGTCATGCTACCTACACTTAAACTGTCTGCAGCCACTGATACAGAATGAGAACATCTAGGAACTCAGTTATTTGACACAAATAACACTTCACATTGCTAAAATAAAAACTTTCTAATGCAAAAACTTCTGTCACTCCGTCAATTATAGCTACTCATCAGAAACTCAGAATTGAAAGCCAAATCTTGATTGATATTGTATCCTAAGCTCATATGATACTGTATTCTAAGCTCAATAACAGAATATTGTCTTTATCAAGTTCTTTTCAATTCACAGGCTTCCACAGCTGTTTTATAGTAATTCCAACTTTGAAAAGAAATTACTTCTGCAGTATTAGTTTCCAAAATGCTTTGTAGCATATTCTCAAAAAGCAAATAGGAAGAAGCCAGTCACAAGGTAGAATTGGCCAGGTGCAGTGGTTCACACCTGTAATCCTAGCCCTATGGGAGGTCAAGGTAGGCAGATCACCTGAGGTCAGGAGTTCGAGACCAGCCTGGCCAACATGGTGAAACCCTGCCTTTGCTAAAAACACAAAAATCAGCCGGGTGTGGTGGCACTTGCCTGTAATCCCAGCTACTTGGGAAGCTGAGGCAGAAGAACAGCTTAAACCTGGGAGGTGGAAGTCGCAGTGAGCTGAGATTGCACCATTGCACTCCAACCTGGGCAACAGGGCGAGATTTCATCTCAAAAAAAAAAAAAAAAAAAAAAAAAAAAAAAAAAAAAGAAAAGAAAAGAAAAAAGAAATAAAGTAAAATAAATAAAAGCATCACATTCATCCATTCATTAATTTTTATTGAGATGTAATCAAAGCCTAAGCATTATATTCTTCAAGCTCTGCATGAGAGACTTGGCAAGTGAGGTTACTTCTTTCAAAGATGGGACTGGTGGCTTTGCAGTTGTTTGCTCCTCAAAGGATGGTCTGAGGACCAGAATCATCAGAAACCCTGAGGGAGCTTGTCAGAAATGCAGTATTCTAGGTTTCACCACAGACCAACTGAATCACAACATGCACTTAAACGCAATGCTTAGGTCACTTCTGCGGCCACCAAAATTTGAGGATCTCCATTCTTCACTGTGACACGCCAGCATCGACACTTGTTTCAGCATTTTCCTTTTGCTTGTTTCAGCACAAGGTTCTGGTGGAAAACACTAGAAATGGTTTTTGTCCCCAGGAATGGGGATGCAAGTTACCAAAGAATTGACGGGAAAAGGTACAGACAACCAGAAAGTAGTTAAAAGGGTTCCTGACTCTTCTGCCCCAAGAAAGGGCCCTGAAATGATAACTGTACTCTATCCATCCCCAGCAAATGTCAGCTTGTCCAGTGATCCCACAGAGAGTGGACATAAGAGTTGCCTTCGACTGTCTGATCTTCGTTCTATTCATCTGCAGAACAAGGGGATGATGCAAAGCAGGTTCCAAGGAGCTTTAAGGTTCTAGGATTCTAGATATAAAAAATAACACTCTGAGTGTATACTGCAGGGAGAACAGTCACATAATATGAGAATTTTTGCACAATTATGCAGATTACTTTGTGATCTTAGATGATCTTTATGTCAAAATGTGATTATTGCTCCACTGAAAGTAACCATTTCTTTATCTTCTTTCTAACCTCTGCAGGGACTTATTGTTTCTTTTCTCTCTCTTTTTTTTTTGAGATGCAGTCCCACTCTGTTGCCCAGGCTGGAGTGCAGTGTTGCAATCTTGGCTCACTACAACCTCTGCCTCCTGGGTTTAAGTGATTCTCATGCCTCAGCCTCCTGAGTAGCTGGGACTGACTACAGGTGTGCACCACTACACCTGGCTATTTTTTTTTTTTTTTGGTAGTTTTAGTAGAGACAGGGTTTCACCATGTTGGCCAGGCTTGTCTTGAGCTCCTGACCTCAGGAGATTGCCCGCCTCACCCTCCCAAAATGTTGGGATTATAGGCATGATCCAAGGACTTATGGTTTCTTTCCACATTACAAAAGTCAACTGCAAGGCACATGTGTATCAGACAAGGGACAGAATCTAATGAGAGAGTAGAAGACAGAAAGAATGAAGAATATAAGAAATATTTGCAGGACCACTGGATTATGAGAATTCCTAAAAGCCAATGTGACACCAACTGCTTTCCAGGACTTAATTCCTTCTGCAGCATTTCATTTCCCAATTATAAAGTACAATCGTTCTTTATTTTTGCTAGAAATGGGAACATATCTTTTTTTTAACCTCCCAGGCATCCCTGTATGATGTTTAAGTGGCCACACATATTAACAAACAGAATGTGGAATCCTCATGGCTCAACAACTCTTGGGATGACAGGCATATTAGCTACCAGCCACTGTATAACCTATTTTCTCTTACCTGTTATGCCTAAATTTGTCTCAAAGCACTGCCTCAAACTCATCTTTGTTCTTTTTTTATTGTACTTTAGGTTCTGGGGTACATGTACAGATCATGCCGGATTGTTGCATAGGCATATACACGGCAAGGTGGTTTGCTGCCTCCATCCCCCCGTCACCTATATCTGGCATTTCTCCCCAAGTTATCTCTCACCAACCTCCCCACCTCCCACTGTCCCTCCCCTAGCACCCGCCAACAGGCTCCAGTGTGTGATGATCCCCTCCCTGTGTCTATGTGTTCTCATTGTTCAACACCTGCCTATGAGTGAGAACAGGCAATGTTTGATTTTCTGTTCTTCTGTCAATTTTCTGAGAATGATGGTTTCCAGATTCATCCATGTCCCTACAAAGGACACGAACTCATAATTTTTATAGGAAATTTTAAGGTAGGATACTTAAGCCACACTGAAGCAAGGTGACAAAACAAATAGCTAAAATGTCTCATGATGCTTGAGTTTCCATTCATCCTGGTGTTCAAGAGAAACCCTTGCATCATGGAAGCTCAATTTGGATAGGACTTTCTCAGCTGAATACTGTCATCTGCCAGACTTCAGGCAAGAACCCAGAGGAGATGAAACCCAAGACAAGACAAAATAAGCCAAGGAATACCAGACAAAGTTATGAAAGGCCAGATGAGAACAAGCAGCGTACACAATTCTCTTGCCAACAGATCTCCCCTAACAGTGTTGTGTACCAAATTTCCATAGTGAATGTCAGGAAAAAATGGCAATTGAGGTAGGCAGTCAAAAGAGAAGCACAGTCTATGATAGAGTCACCCCAGAGAAGTCTTTTTTTTCCTTTTTCTCTTGGTAAACTACCAGGATTAAATTAAAATCCTTTTGAGTATTGCATTTAACTCTGTAGTAACGTTATTTGTTCTCAAGGAATCTCTAAAAAATTTACATGTCTAATTTGGCAGGGAATGTCACTAGGATAAGACAATTGCAAAACCCATTTGTGTGGGCAAAATGGCTTCCAATGAACCTTGGTGCAAACAATGCACAAGGTACTTTCTTAAAAAGCCCAAACATCCCATTCTACATCCAGAACTGCCCCTCAACCCTCACCCTCTCAAACTCCGTACAAAACAATCCTCTTTCTACCTCTGCATTTCCAATGAATGCCTCTTCCTCCAGACATCCCTAGTTTCTGTTCTTGATACTACGACATTTCTAAACTGGAAATTTAAGAATCATGTGGACTGCTCCCTCTTTCATTGCCTGAGTTTAAGCAAATAATATCAATTAGTTTTCCCCAATATTTTCTATATAATCAACTATTTCATTTTTGTTTCTACAATGATCGGTCTAGTTAATGTACCTGGTATCCTCACTTCAACCATTTAGAAGTGAGCTCCCATTTACTCATTAGTTCATCTGATGCATATTTGAGTACCTACTGTGTGCTGGAGGCACTATGCTAGGTGTTGAGGATAGAAAGTGAGCAGAGTAGATTTGGGTCCACTCCTAGAGGAGTTTACAAGCTGCTGGCTCTTCCCACTATGATAGATTCTGCAGATTCCCATCGGATTCACCTTGCTAACATGCTCTTTGAATTATGTTTTTAACCCTGTTCAAATGCCCCTAATGGCCTACTGAAAACAAAACAAAGTCAATGAAAAGCAAAGTGGACATCAAGGAAATGGAAACTAAAACCACAGAGACGTATCACCTCACTCCAAGTAAAATGGCTATTAATAAAGAGACACGAAATAACAAATGCTGGCACCGATGTGGAGAAAAGGAAGCCTTATCTACTGTTTGTGGGAATGTACATTAGCATAGCTATTATGGAAACCAGTATGGTGGTTTCTTAAAAATCTAGAAATAGAACTGCCATATAATGTAGCAATCCCACTACTGGATATATTTGCAAAGGAACTGAAATCAATACTTCAGGATGTGTCTGCACTCCCGGGTTCATGGCACCATTATCCACAATAGCCAAGAGTTGGAATCAACCTAAGAGTCCATCTGCAGATGAATAAAGAAAATGTGGTATACATACATAAGAGAACACTCTTTGGCCATAAAAAAATCAAAATCTGTCATTTTCAACAATATGGATGAACTTGGAGAACATTATGTTAACTGAAATAAGCCAGGCACAGAAAGACAAATGTCATATCACCTTACTCATAGATGGAACCTAAAGAAGTTGATATGACAGAATTAAGGAATAGAATGGTGGCTACCAGATGATTGGCTGGGCTGGGGATGAGAGGGGGGCATTGGGAGAGATGATTGATGGCTATAGAGTTACTGTTAGATACTAAGTTCTGTTGTTCTATTGCATAGTAGGGTGACTGTGATTATAATATTAAATAGAAAATTATAATGCATGTTATATATTTCAAAATAGATAATTTTAAATGTTCTCATTACAAAGAAATGATAATTGTATGAGATGACAGATATGCTGAATACCCTGACTTGATTTTTGCACAATGTATTCAGGTATAGAAATATCACGCTGTATCTTATAAATATGTATAATTACTGTGTGTCAAAAAATTTTTATATATGGTCTCAATCTGTCACCTAGGCTGGAGTGCAGTGGCGCCATCATGACTCACCGCAGCCTGAACCTCCTGGGCTCAAGCAATCCTCCTACCTGAGCCTCCCGAGTAGCTGGGACTACAGGCATGTGCCACCATGCCTGGCTGTTTTTTGTATTATTATTATTATTATTATTATTATTATTATATTTTTAAAGACTTGGTTTTGCCATGTTGCCCAGGCTGATCTTGAACTCCTGGGCTCAAGTATTCTTCTTGCCTTAGCCTCCCAAAGTGCTGGAATTACAGGCATGAGCCACTGTGCCTGGCCTTGTGTCGATTTTTTAAAAAGTAAACTACTTTTATCATTCTTTAAAGCTTTGCAATCTGGCTTCTATTCACTTCTCTAATTCAAATTTCATTATTCTCTTAATAAACCATCTGGGTGAAACCAGCTGGCTGGGTCTCCATCTCAGGACACTCTACATTCCTTGCACTTTGCATTATTTTTGCCCTTTCTGGTTGCAGAAGGGATATTCACTGCAATGTGGTATTTTTTCAATTGCCATATGAAAAATGTTCTCTCTCCTCTGCACTTAACTGTTTGGTCCAGGTATATATTACTTGATGTACACACTACATACATATATATATATATATATATACTTTTTACTTTATCTTGTGAGAGAGATTGTGCTAAGAAAGAAGATGATTTCTCCTACTAAAATTGATTCCTACTTTTAGAACCATTTGGTTCTTTTGTTTAATTAACTCATTTATTAGTTTAATTTTTAATTGATAAGGTAAAACTTGCCCATATTTATGGGGTACACTGTGATGTCTTGATGTACATATACATACGCCGTGGAATGATTAAATCAAATAAATATCCATCACTTCACATACTGATCTTTCTTCATAATGAGAACATTTAAAACCTACTCTCCTAGCAATATTCCAGTATACATACATTAACTACAGTCACCATGCTGTACAATAGATCTCCCAAAGTTATTAATCCTGTCCAACAAAATTCTGAACCCTTTGACCAACATCTCCTCACTCCCCATCACATTCCTCGTCCAGCCCATGCTACTCTGCTTCTATGAGTTTGATTTTTTTAGAATACTCTTTTGGTTCTTAAGGGCAGGGATCATTGTATTTGTATCGCCCATAGGACCTCATTTATTTCCTTGATCAATGACGTCATTGGTAATGATACTGCTTGATATGGTTTGGCTGTGTCCCCACCCAAATGTCATCTTGAATTCTCACATGTTGTGGGAGGGACCTCGTGGGAGATAACTGAATCATGAGGGCAGAACTTTCCCATGCTGTTCTCATGATAGTGAATAAGACTCACAAGAGCTGATGGTTTCATAAATGGCAGTTCCCCAGCACATGTTCTCTTGCCTGCCACCATGAATGCTCCTCATTCACCTTCTGCCGTCATTGTGAGGCCTCCCGAGCCACGTGGAACTGTGAGTCCATTAAACCTATTTTCTTCATAAATTACCCAGTCATGGGTATGCCTTTATTGGCAGCGAGTGAAAAGACTAATATACTGCTATTATCAAGAGATTCATTTTAAGGTTTCACTGTGGTATCCATAAGCATCTCCATTATTAATTATATATATATTTTTAAAACTTGTAAACCATCTGCAGAAACCTATTACATTGAAAGCCTAATTTAGAAAAGAATTTCCTTTACTTCGGAAGGGGTGCCGTGGTGGCCAGTAATAAATTAGGAGCCACCAGGTGTCACTATGTTAATGCTAGCCTGAGTTCCACAGGTTGGAACCTGGTGGAGGGAGGGTCTCAAATGCTGTACTGTGGTGGTAAACAGAGTTTCCACTTACTCACTAGATAATCATGTTTCCAATATGAGTTTCTCTTTAGAATCCTTTGTGGAGCTTGGCATTATTCCTTAAATCTACATCCTCCACCCCCAGCCAGCATGAGAAGCAGAGGTTTAAGGATGAACAGTCAGGCCTAATGGGGAATTTATTTTCTCTGTTGGCTCATGTCACTGCCTCAGCTTGGTTTTATATAGTGTTTTGTGAGTCTAATGTTGCTTATTTGAAAAATGAACACAATATAGGATGCTTGAGTGGTTTGGGTCCAAAAAGAAAACTGGTATTTGCCAGAAAGAAGGAAAAGGAAAATACATAATAGAAACATCTACAAAACCTAATCTGAAAAGAAAGGTTTACAAGGTTTAAAACTATCTACGTATACATGGGAATAAATTTTATTAATTTATATGTTCTTTGTAGCTTGACAATCCCAAACATCCGTGAAAGCCAACACTGAAGAAGGTATAAAAAGAAAACCAACCTTGGGCAGGGACAGAAACTCTCCAGCCTGTTTTGTTTTTGTCAAAGCTCATTGGACAGCAAAATCTGAAATCCTTTAGAGGATTAAGAAAGGCTTTTTAACTCACATGGGTGTGCTTTACACTACAAAAGACTATTAAGTAAAGATGAGTATATTATATTTAACATATAATGTTATTATGTCTTGGCAATGCCCCTTTAAATACAGAAGAAAATTAATGGCAAAAGGTTATGAAACAAAATTATTCACCCAAGGGACAAGCAACTTTTACACAGCAAATGAGGAATTCTAACTGCAAAATTATATCTTACATGGAAAACATTTTCTACCCCTTTGCTCCATAAACTCTGAAGATATGAATGCCTCCACAAACAGAATGAATAAAGTTCCAATTCTCTATAGTGACAAATCCAGAAATGGCAAGTTTTATCTTAAAGGAGTTCTACTGCTGCACAAAAGCTCTCATGCACAAATAATGAAATTCTCAAATTGGAATAAATGTGCTTTTAAGAATTTTTATTTTGATCATTTATTTCAGGAAACACTTGTGGATCATGCAACATAGCTTTGAATTATGGAGCAGATAAGGAAAATCTAAAAGAAAAAAATAGGGCAGGCCTTTATTAAATTTTAAAGTATGTCTTAGCTATACTCTTATAAAGAGCCAAATAGGGTATCCAAATCTCTGGAGATCACCAGTATAATTTCTTTATCATGTTCCATTTAAAATTTAATTATGCAGTCTACTACAAGAAGAATCTGAGAAGTCTAAATAGGTCATGCAGTGAGTGA